AGAGGAGAGATGAGAGAGGGCAGCCTTGTATTGCACCACTGGATATGATGAACTCAGGCGAAAGCTTGCTCGACACTCGTTTGTGCCCACAGGATATCGCGTACAGTGCTTTCATAAGGGATATAAATTGGGAATTGTCCGATGATTGTCGGACATTGCCAAAGTTTCTGATCGACAGAATCAAAAGCAGCTTTAAGATCAAGAAAAACGACTAAAGTGGGACGTTTGAAGGAGTGGCGCTGTTCAAGAATTAGTCTCGAGATAAAGATATGGTCGAGGCATCCTCTGCCAGGGCGAAACCCAGTTTGTTTATTACGATGATTGTCGGACATTACCAAAGTTTCTGATCGACAGAATCAAAAGCAGCTTTCAGATCAAGAAAAACGACTAAAGTGGGACGTTTGAAGGAGTGGCGCTGTTCAAGAATTAGTCTCGAGATAAAGATATGGTCGAGGCATCCTCTGCCAGGGCGAAACCCAGTTTGTTTATTACGAACCTTCCTCTCCCGATAATCAATCAACCCGCACAAAATAACCCCAGAGAGCACTTCAGATGTGAAGGACACCAGACGGATGCCACGGTGGTTTCACATGATGTTCACGCGCTATTTTTGAAGAGTGGCATGACGGTCAAGGAGCTTCATTCGGCTGTTACTCTGTTTCCTTTCCAAATATTCTGCAGCGTAATTGTCAAACTGTTCACCAGAACCACACCACCTTCTTTGAAGAATACGGGGTGCAGTCCATCCGGGCCAGGTGCCTAATTGCACTTCAGAATTGATGTATCATGCTGGATTTCGGTGGCTGATGGCGGGTTGATATCGATGTTCCATTCAAGGAGACCAACTGGAACTCTGAACTGCTCAGCCACTGCTCACCACTCAAGACGGCAAATGAGGATGTATTGCCGTTCCTCCTTTCTCGCATACTGTTGCACTGACACCTGCCCTTTTTTCGACAGGTTGATCGAATCAGTCTAAAAAGGGAGCGGCTGTTTCCAGCAGCGAAAACCTCCTCCATTTTCTGGGTCCTTGAAATCCACCAGGGTTCACTGTCATTCTTCGAACTCCTGAACAGCTGGTATTTGAGGGATCTGCGTGCGCCATCATAATCGCTAGTTGCTGGTTTGGCCCTTCTGGCGGGAATAATATCTGCTGATCTCAACGATATCCAGTATTTATTGAGTCGGGTCAGATGGCCTGGACAAACAGTAGTGAAGGCTGTGAGCATCGCTTCTTTAACTCCCCTCCATTCACCCTCCAAGCCGTGTCCGTCATCTGCATGACTGCGTTTCCGGTAGCCAGATCAGCTCGATACTCTTCAGTCACTAAAACTTGTCGAAGTCGATGAACGGAGCCGCTCTCCTTTGGCATGCGTGATGCTGACAAAAAGCGAAGTGCTAACCGGCTCCGGATGATGGCATTATCAGAGTCAAAGTCCGTAACCCAGAAGGAAAGACTATCCTTAACTGGAGCTCTCCATCGATAACTGATAGCCACATGGTCCAACTGATTCAATGACTGTATTGTGGTGGGTGGACTCCAAGTAACTCAATGTGAAAGTTTGTTAGAAGTTCGTACTGGCCAGGGACAAGTGATGATATGCACACAACTGAAGGAGTCACTCCCCATTATCCGTACGCTCAGCTGCAACTCCAAACCTACCACCAGACTGTGATTCTTCCACACGTGGTCGTCCAACTTGGGCATTCGTATCACCCGACAGGACTACTATATACGTCCTTTTTCCGACTGAAGCAGTCATGACAGATATTGATAAAATTCGTACTTCTCGGTCTCGGAACTGCAGTCTGTTGGAGCATATGCTGGTACGACAAATAACCACTACTTATCGCATCGACTTGCATTCAACTTAATTGAGCTAGACAACCGCACAGCGAATGACCGTTTGCTGGGATCCAGTCCAGTAAGGCGTTTTCAGCCATGGGGCTGAGTGCAACTCCAACAAAGTAGATACCACGAGTCGTTGCGTCAGGATAACCAGCTACCCGAAGAGTGGAATGTGGAACATCTGAGCTCATCCTAAGCGGGTTGAGGTTCACGAGCGAAGTGGGGTCTTGTATGGGTGTTTCGGAGGCAACTTACATCCATAGAGTGGGAAAGCAAAGTTTCAGCAAGAGATGCCTGTTGTCCAATTCGACAGAGTATGGGAATAAAAAGGCTGTAACATGAATCAGATCTTTTGAGGTTAGTAAGTTATCGTTTTGGTTTATTTTTCTACGCGAAGGTTTAGACACGGAGCAGTGGCTAGGGGATTCGCAGATCAGTTGATCACACTGCATTGTTTGATAGACGGGGATAAAGTGTGGAGGATGACCAGTCAGCGAAGAGCTGTAAGAGAAAATGATAATTCCCGGCTGCCCAGTCAGAAAGGAATTTGGTTGAGGTACCCCAGAAGCCTTTAACTCAAAAGGCTGACTCACAAGGCAGCGAGAGGATTCAGGGTTTTGTTCGGGGACCCTACCCCTAGCCACTGACGCGAGTCTGAACAGCGAGATAGCGGCTCTCTGGGTTTCCTTGGGAGACCCTTGCCAGAACTAATGATTCAATAAGCTGACCCATTAGCTGTGGGGTACCGTCCTGGCCCGAGCGCAGGGAATAAGATGTTGCTCTTTCACTTCTAATGAAGCTGTGCACAGTAGGTGCCTTTTGAGCAGAACCGGGGTTTTGGTTTTAAAAGTATTTCGACCGCATTGAATAATGCGCCGGCGGTCACGTCAACCGTTTGGCGATCGGAGTGTGCTGTTTTTTGGGCCGATCTTTTCCAGCCCGTCCTTCGTCGGGGGAAGGCAACATCGCCGCTTCCGTAAATGTGGGCATACTGGTGGCCTGGGGGAAACGCCTTACTATCTTCACACTCCCTTCGAAGAGGACAATACAACTTTACCTCCAGACCGCCTCATACTACGATCACTCACATGACGGGGACTAGCAGTTTTTCGTTCGGCTGCTCCCGATTGCACCTCCAGGCATGGTTGAAACTTAGAGAATACGGTTCCAACCAGCGTAGCTTGCAGAATCACTGCAGCACAGAAGCCCGACCACAATGACTGGGTGACAGCTTTAGGTCGATCATGATGAGGACCGGGTGCACCGACGGAATACGTACTTACTGGCCACTATCCAGTCGTATCCAATCGTTCAACTGTGGCATAGTTTCTCTGCATGGCTACTGTGCAAATCAGAAGAGGCGCATGCCCGATTCTACAAGGCTCAGATCACCTTTGCTAATTTAGGACACGTATGTCGATATCCCAGGGGATGTGTGCCAGGGCTGTTTTGTTGTGTGGCTGAGACATGGTTTCAGCGAGCAGAGGAGCTGGGACATGTTCAAATACTCGACAACCATTGTCTGAGAACTATCAATCCTGTAAGCGGGCGCCAGAAAATCCACGAAGCAATTAGGGAACGGTCGTTCGGTGGTGCGTCGAGGGCTTCCGCCAAAGAGTGTATTCAGTGCCAAAGCTGCAGTGGTTTTGATCATGTATTGTTTACCGGAGTGTTTTCCCCATATCCAATTCAGAGTGTCATATGCAGACAACTAGCCAACCTCTGACCTGGCAGATGTGAACAAAATCGGTTGCGAGGGGTCTGGATGCAGTCGGTGCAACATACGTTCCAGGATGGGGTCCGCATATGGTTGGAGACGCTGCGAGACACTGCTACCTATCGATGTCAGTGGCGTTGTTGCCGTCAGTTTTTATCCAAAAGTGAGTCTGGTGGTGTGTGCAATTCGAGAAGATTGTGGTGGGATAGCACTAAGTCCCTCCTCCATTCGCTTTCATTCCTTCCTTCATAATAAAGTTTTCGAATAAATTAGTTATACGGCAGCAAAGCATTAGTTCCAACAGCAATGGTATGTTGGTTATAAGGATAATGGACAAAGCACGATGGCCAACACACTACAAGTTTTTGCAGGCCTGGGAATGACCAGCTGAGAGGCTGGTGTTGATTCCGTAGTTTCCCACTTTGATCGTCCAACTATTTCGAGCCGCCCAGCGTTGCTCAAACTTGGAATCAACAGGGGGATTCCGTAGTTTCCCATTTTGATCGTCCAACTATTTCGAGCCGCCCATTGTTGCTCAAACTTGGAACTCAACAATGGGCCATGCCATTGAGGTAATATCAGAACAAGAATTTTGGGGGAGGACAGACAACTCTCTAGGGTGACCGCGATTAACAATTCCGAATCGGTGTAGAACGGCCTGGTTATATTGTAGCAAGGCCAATGCCTGCTACTAACCACTGAGAAAGAACCTAAAGGAGCTCTCCATTCTTCTCTTCTGGAGTGAGTGTCAAAATACTACACACGTACATACTATACACAATATTATGAAACAGGCGCGATCATCTTGAGAGGAGTGAATGACAGTTTCAATGTAGAGAAAGGTGCCGATGTGCCCTTATTGATCGACTGAAAATTCGGATTCACGTTCTGTAGAAAGAGCTCAGTTTCACGCACTGAGCAGTAATGAAAATCTACAGTTGCGGGTGTAGTGTTCCTCGGGAAGGAATCCCAGGGTTTTCCCAGAGGTTCATCATCACCCGTCTGACATCACGAAGGCTCGGACTGGAAACGAGTCTTACGTCCTAGAGATCAGACAGCTGGTGCATCAAATACGCTGCAGGCTTCCAGTCCGAACTGCCTTTGGCTTGTAACGGTGCCATATATGCCGCTCCCTGGGCCGAAGTTTACGTATTAAGACTGGGAGCCCTTAGTTCTGCGGACTCTGATTATTCTAAAGTGTAGCAGCACCCTTGAGATGACTGTATCAAAGAACAGTACGACCTAGTGCTGTTTCAGAAGGTCTCGTTCGAAAACTCCACAGTGGGAGCACAGTATTCGGCGAGGAGTTTATGCTCTAAAGCTGCGGTAACATTCGTTTTTAGATCTGAGCGGACAATCACCACCAAGTCTGGGGTGAAAAACGAACCATTTCGTTCACAAACACAACTTATATAGGGCGAAATAGGAACTCACAAACGCCTTGAAGATCACAGAATCCCAAAAATGGTCTACCATCTTGTTCAAGTCCACCAATAATGTAAGTATTCCAGAGAGGGTTTAGTTGGCTCCTACGATTGTACATAACGCGCGTAATCCAGGAGTGAAGTCCACGAGCACTGCAAATCAGAAACTTAAGGAAGAACAGGAAAGTACCTGAGATTAAATCCGTCACAGAGCAAGCTGTCAGTGTGGGTCTGCTCATCGATGCGGCGCTTCAGGAGTTGATAATCCGCGAAATCGCCACTACAAGCGAGTACAGTTCGGTCGTTAATCTATGATAGCAATGGCAAAGTAAGGAGATTACTTTGGCAACCCGCTCCACGTCCATGTATCGAGCTAACGAACCGTAGGAGACCAACATATCAGCAGCCAGAATTACGCCATCATCAAACTTTATACCCAGAACAGACGTTCCTGTACATGTGGGCATCAAAGTGTGCGAAGTCTGTCCCGCACTCTGCAGGGATTCGGGTGCAGCTACCGAGGTCATCATGCTTCAGCAAACTTTTAAAAGCGGCCCCAAGGTCAATTTCAAAATGCCGCCCTTGGCTTCAGAACCGGAATGAGTCACGCAAGCCAAAGCGGATGCGAAAAGGTCGTCCAGCTTATTATCCAGGAGAAAGATATATCATCATGGTGGGAGAAAAGGCTCCAAAATCACCAGGTGCAGGTGCTTCTCTTTTTTCTTTGTATTTCGCTGTTTCTTTAAGGTTTTCTCCGTTTTACATGCGCGCCTTCGCATTTGGTGTTTTATCGTCTGATTTTGTCTTCCGTATTTCACCTTCTTATTATTTCTTTCTCATCAATTTGAGCCCCTGCTGATGTTCGAGGGAAATTTCTTGCATGCCGTTTTATGTTCTGTCGTTGATTGCGGCAACAGCAATATGTCTTTAGGGTTACATACCCCCATGACAGCACTTGCGGCAGTCGAATGAAGCTTGGTTTATAAGGCTCATAAAATGCCTTCACTCTTTTTTGAACAACGCTGGAGCCTGATAAACTTTATCACTCAAGTACAGAAGCTGAGGGAGCCCGAGCATCATTTACTTTGTGGCCACGATCCATATGATCAACTCAGCAGACGAAGGAGTTTTTTAGTTTGGCCTAGCACTGCAGGCGCCCTAAGTTACACAAAACATATTTATAACGTGAGAATGACAGTGGAACTAACGATCACAGAGTGGGGGCAAGTGATTGTCAGTGGAGGGCTGTATGCTGAGAAAAAATGCATACATAGTGAATTTTGAACGGGAGAACCGATCATTCGCCAATCTAAAACCCTGAAACAGTACGGCAAGAACAATGGGTCCTTAAGGTTCGTTTCACGGTGGTACCAGCCCAAAATAGACGATATTTTCGTATGACCACACTTGAGTGGACAGAAAT